GTAGTTGGACACAATACCTTTATTTCACTTATTTGTTTTATGTGGTGCTGAGGATGGAACCCAGGATCTCGCACATGCGAGGCGAGTGCTCTACCACTGAGCCACAATCCCAACCCAATGCTACTTTATTTTTGCTTATCTAAATTCCTCAATTTTTTTCCTACTAGGAAAATATACCACTTATGTTTTGAAATCTCTGACACTTTTGAAGGAGACAGTCAAAATCTACTTATAAAAGTTTGCAAAGGATTTCCCAATGTTCTGCATAGCTAATGCATGTTTATAAGGATACACAAGGAGGAGGAGGATTCCTGAAAGATGTATGTAAGAAGGCAAGAGTTACCACCTCTGGGTTATAGAAATGCTGGAAATGCATATTTGCTTCTTCCCTAGGGACACCTGTTATCTTCATCCAATGTGTCCCTTACTCTTTCTTCTGGAACAGACTCCCCTTCTATGCAAACCTACTTCAAGTGGGACCTTCCTGCATTGTGTTTCCCCTGGTCATGAAAAACTGACCAATCAGAGCACCTCAGGGATTACAGGAGTGGCCCAAGGAGACACATCTGATACAAACCCACCAGTCAAGCCCTTCTCTGAGATTTGTGTACCTGAATACTAAGAAAAGACTATTTCCTTCTGGTAGGTTGTCCAGTTGATAGGGATTCATCTGGGGGTTGATAATGTCAACATTTTCCTCCCTCTGGAGAAGGCTATTGGAGAAATGGACTGAGAGAATGAGAAAGATGCATTCAGCCAATATTCTTCAAGCCCTGGATGCAGCCACGCCTGATCCACCCCTTGAACATCCCTTTTACAAGGGGCAATACCTTTTCATGAATTGCCTCAACCGGTTTGCAAATTTCCAACACGTTCAGCTGAACGAGTTCTAATTTTTACAAGTCTTTTGTTCCCTTCTATTTTCTCCATTGTCCACAAAAAGCATATATCTTGTGTAGAACATATCTCAGATTTAAAAAAAAAAAAAACAGCAATAAAGAAAACTGCAGATGTGCACTGTCTGTAGAGAGCGGCTGTGGACACCCTTCCTCCAAGGCACAGGCTGAGTTTGTCCCGTGGGGGAAGGCCACCATTTGCCTGTGGATCTGCAGGTCCTCTGGCTCTTGGAAGGTCTCCAGACCTGACTCACTTCTTCCACACTAAAGCCTTAACCCCCGCAAATCCAGGGCCCTGACAAACCCACCTTTTCCAGCAACCCCCTCCATTGGGTCTCCACTTTAAAGTGATAATTAATACAAAGTTGGGTGTCTTTTTCCCTCTGGGAGAAAAATTCTTTAACAGCATGAAGTGGAGCGGAGTGTGGGTGGATTTAACAAGGAGGTGGGAGCTTATGTAAGTGGCATTATTATATATGATTATATCACCAGGGTAAGAGAAACTGGCTCCTGTTTGGGTGTGACACCGATCATTAAGTTTGAGGCTTACATGAAATAAGATGAAGAGAAGCCAGAGGGGCCTTTGCAGCCCAAATCTGTCCTCTCTTCCTCATCAGAATAATCCCAACCCTTATCCAGCCCTACTACATCCCAGGCTCTTTATGAAGCCCCTTCCTGCATTAAGTGCTCATGGCAATCCCATGAGATTATCCTTACTGTCCCCATTTTACAGACGGGGAAACAGCTACAGAGAGATGCCCCCACTTTGTGCAAGATCCCTGAGCTGCCAAGCACGAGAGCCAAGATGGCAGCCCATGCTGTCCAGCTCCCAGGTCCACATCCTGAACCCCGAAGACAAGCCAGCAGCAAAACCACACAAAACCAGAACCCCCAGGAGGACCCCTGAGGTCAACCAATCACACCATCCTTTAGTTGGTGAGGGAGTCGACCCAAATGTTTTCACTGTGTTATATTTTTTTATTAAATCGACTCTCAGACTTCCTCCAACCCAGACCGTCAGGAATATTCTACACATTGTGCTTGTAAGGCAGAGAGTTCACACTGGAGGGCCATCGACCAAATCCAGCCCATAGATGTGTCTGCTTGGCCAGATCGGGTTCTTATTTTTCCAAATATTTCATTTGGGGTGGGTGCTGTCTGGTTTAGAAGTCGCCAGTCCTCCCGAATGTCTGACACCTGGCCCACGTCACTCAACTACAGGGAATCTGAGTTGGCAGCTTGCAATATAAGGAACCCCAGGTCACAAAAAGAGGAAACTGTCATTAGCTCCAAGAATATAGGGTGTCAGGACAGCTAGGCGGTGTGGAGCACTTACTCAGTGTCACAGGCCCTAGCCTTGCCCCATTTGATCAGAGTTCATCCTGTGGGAGGGCAGTGCTCTTGGCAGGTCTCCTGCTGTGGAGAGTGTAACCCAGCAGGGGCCCCACTAGACTCAAAACCCAGTGCACCCCTCAATAATACAGTGCATCGAGGAAACGAAGGTCTCCTCCTGGGACACCCCGACCTTCTCCAGACTGCAGGGCCCAGAGCCCCTGACCCTCTCCTCTCCTGCCTTCCTCTGCCTGGTCCCACACCGCAGTTTCCTAATGACATCCCTGCACCCTGAGACTGCCCCCCCCATCCCTGTCTGTCTGTCAGAGGACCCAGACTGACACTCAGGGCTTTCCTGAGATGTTTTAGCCCGTTTTTTCACTGCTGTGACTAAAAGACCCTACAGAACAATTGTAGAAGAGGAAAAGTTTATTTGAGGGCTCACAGCTTCAGAGGTCTCAGTCCATAGACAGCAGCTCCATTCCCTAGTGAGGAAGGACATCACAGGTGAGGCAGGACATCATGGCGGAAGAGGGTGGCAGCCAGAAGCAGCTCACATGGTGACCAGGCAGCAGAGAGAGAGGTCTCCACTCTCCAGATACAAAATATGTACCCCAAAGCCACGCCCCCAGGCCCACCTCCTCCAGCCACGCCCACCTCCTCCGGTCACTCCCACCTCCTCCAGCCACGCCCTCCTCCTCCACTCACGCCCTCCTCCTCCAGTCACGCCCACCACTGCAGCCACGCCCACCACTGCAGCCACGCCCACCACTGCAGTTACCTCTCAGTTGATCCCCATCAATTCACTGAAGCTCTCACAACCCAATCATTTGTCCTCTGGACCCCCTTGCACTCACACATGAGCTTTTGGGGGACACCTCACATCCAAACCGTAATATGAGATCACACAACCAGGAAGCCACTCGCCAGGACCCGAACAAACCAGGTCCCCAAGCTGAGCTCTGAACCATTGTCTCCTGGACAGTGTCCCCCCCACCCCACCCCCGTGCTGGGGGTTGGTCCCGGGGTGCTCTACCACCGAGCTGCATCCCCAAACCTTTTATTTTTGTTTTCAGACAGGGCCTTGCTGCTGAGACTGGCCGGTTACTGTGACCCTCCTGCCTCGGCCTCCCCAGTAGGGGGGACTGCAGGCGCCCCTCCAGCTGGTCTTTCCGCTGCTTCAACCCATCTGCATGTGTCATTCGCCCTCGGGAACCGCAGTGAGAGTTGTTCATTAATCCCCACTGAAGAAATCCCTCCTGAGCCCACAGAAGCCCCACAGAGACAGAAAGGAGAGCTCAGCGTTTTCCGTAGTGAAGGGATGGATGCAAGCCAAAGGCACACCCAGATCTCCTCTCTCTCCAGTCAGGACGGCAGCCATCGAGGATGCAAATGACAATCAAGGCCCGAGCGGAAGTGGAGACAAGGGGGACTGTGAATCAGTACAACCGCCTTGGAAATCAGTGTGGAGCCTCCTCAAAAGACCAGGCCCCAACCACCAGGTGGCCCAGCCAGGCCGCCTCCGTATTCATCCCAAAGAATTAAAGTCGTCTTACGGCGGTGACAGGTGACGTGACGCACGCCTACAGCGGCACAATTCACCACAGCCAAACTGTGGAGCCAGCTGGGTGTCCTCAGTGGCTGAATGGACTCAGAGGGTCAAGGTCATGTGTCTTCTCTCATAGGTGAAAAGAGGAAAAGCCATGGGGGGGGGGGGGGGGCATGAAAGTCAAAGGGGCCCCAGCAGGAGGAAAGGGACACAGGAGGTGCTGGGGAGGGGCGCTGGCCAGGGACAGTGGTAGTGCTCTATCGTGTGTGTGTGAGTACGTGACCTTGAGTCCCACCATTCTGTGCAACTGTAATGCAACAATAAAAAAATACGGGGAATAAAAGACACACAGGCCCCCAAAATTTATATTATAACTTGGCCCCAAATAATCGCCCTCCCAGACTCTCCCTCAGCCCCTCCTCAGAACTGCCAGAAAGAACATCTAACACCCACCCCGATTTATGGTCATCTGCCTAAAATCTCCCAAAGGTGATCCATGGCCAGTTCTCTTTGTTTCCCCAGGAGAACCCAAGGGACAGGTCCTGGTCACCTCAACCACACCCGTGGGCACAGCAAGGGCAGGAGGGGAGTTGGAATTGCCAGCAGATGTTCTCACCTCCTCCCTGACATGGCAGGAAGCTCATTCATAAGCAAGGAGACAGGGGAAGCACGGGGACATTCCTGTCTGGGGTTTTGTTAAGTAAGTTGTTAGGAAGCTTGTTTTCAGGAACCATTATCACTTATAAACGGCTTCCCAATGGGATGGGCTGCAGACTGAGAAACTTTGACCCACAGCCTAGTAGGTGGTCAGGAAATGTGGGTTGAATAAATAAAGGTATGAAGATCAGAAGAGAGGACATGACAGGAGGGAGTGAGCTACTGGATAGGGGCCCAGAGATGGTTTTATGGTTTTATGGGCTTAGGAAGGGCCAATGGTGTCCTGTGCCACCCTCTCAGACCCAAGGGAATCACAGCTCGGGACAGCTGCCATTCAAGATGCATCATCTCTGGGGCTAGGGTTGTGGCTCAGCGGTAGAGCACTCACCTAGCACGTGCGAGGCACTGGGTTCAAATCTCAGCACCACATAAAAATAAATAAATAAAATAAAGGTATCATGTCCAACTACAACCAAAAAATAAATATTAAAAAAAAAAAGAACCACCATCTCTAGCTGCACGGTGTCTGAGCTTCACCTGCATCATTATATACTTCATAGATTTATTTGAAAGCAACTCACTTCTAAAAAAAAATTAAATGCATTTATTGACAACGGAAGCTGGGTGACACTTCTGTAAATGGAAAGCCAATATTCACGACATAAGCTGTAGGCAACCATAAAAAAAACGAGGACAAAGAAGACATCCTCAAAATTCAATTCTAGCTATAGCCCTCTGCTGAACCCCGCTCGCCTTGAGGGCTTCTCTGTCTTTGCTAAGATAAAGGGGGTGCAGGGAGAGGGGTAGGAGGCGCCCCGGTCTCCTACTGATATTCTCCTGGGTGTAGTGAAATTAAACCAGAAGCAGGATAGAATTATCTTGAGATAACACCTGATTTTTTTGGTGCTGGGTGGAACTGGGGGCGGGGCCTGTTAGGTTTGTGCTCTGTGGCTGAGCCACACCCCCCAACCCGAGCAGCGTGAACCTCTGCAGCCTCCTAGTGCAGGCCCCGCCCTCTCTCTCCCAGCTGCTCAAAGTGGGAGGGGCCAGCAGCCCCTGCAGCACCTGGAAGGTTGTTAGAGCTGCAGACTCCAGGGGTGGGACTGGGGCCAGGTTTAGCTATCCCTGCAGGAGATTCTAATGCACCCTTAAAATTAGAGACCACCCAGCCTCTGACGGGTCCACCTGCCCCCTCCCCTGCAGCCACCAGCCCAGCCAGCGTGACTTTATTGATTTATTTGATATTTTGGTGCTGGGGATGGAGCCCAGGGCCTTGCCCACGCTAGGCAGGCGCTCTGTCACTGAGCCACACACCAGGCCAGAGCGGTCTTTCCAAAAGCAGAAATTACATCACTTCGTTTCCCTGTTTTGGAAATCCCTCCACAGGCTTTCCACTGGGATTAAAATAAAATCCAAATTCCTTCCTTTTCCATCAAAAGTCAGAAGCTAGGCCCTACCCCCACCTTGGAAAGCCCCTGATACTACTTCCCTCCCTGGTGGGTTCCAGACACCCTCCCCTTCTCTGGGTCCCTCAAATTGCCCCAAGGACACTCCTGCCTCAGGGCCTTTGCATGTACCCCTGCCTGGAAGAAAACTCGGCCTGCGTGCCTGTAGTTCTCTCCCTTGGGTCATTCAGTCCCTGGTCATCTGGCACATACCCAGAGAGGCTGTCCCTGGCCACCAACTAAAAGCTGCCCCTCCTACAGACCAACTCATCCCAGCCGAGCCAGGATTATCCCAGTACATGATCATTATCTGTCCTCACTCTAGTGTCACACCAAATTTTAAAAGTGACAGTCCCAGCGAATGGGCGGAGCTGTCCCCCCCCCATGGTCCCCACTGGCCCTGCACCCTCGGCTGCTCTTTTTCGGGTTTTGTCTTCAGATCGCCGCTGTTGGTTCTCTCCTTCCTCCCCGCGGGCCTGGGTGCTCCCCCAGGGCAGGAGTGAGGGGTGATCCCCCCACAGCTGGATTCCTGGCCCCCAGCCCGACTGGCACCAACTCACACTACACCCAGAGAACTGCATTTGCTGAGCTCCTGCTGCTGGCCGCGGTGCAGAAGGGTCCCCAGGCCAGGATTACTGCCAGGACCATTCCCGGGGCCACCAAGGACGCCCAAGGTCAAGGTTCTGAGACGGCCCAGACCTCAGTTCCCACCACCAGGGCATCACAGTGCTGGGGACTGGACCAGGGCCTCCCCGGGCCAGGAAGGGCTCTCGGGTGGGCCACACCCAGCCCTGCAGGAGGCCTGGAGAACCGGACCACGCCTGCTGCCCACTGTGGGATTCTGAGCCCAGAACCACAGGGGCTAATAGGGTGGATTTAAGCCCTAAAACTAAAAACGTCTGACTCCCTGTCCACCTCCTCTGCTTCCACAGGCCCCGGCTGCGGCCTGTGTGGTTCAGGGGCCTAGAACCGGGGCCTGAGGCAGCAGACCCTCCACCATCGAGTGCTGCGGGAAGTGTGTCCTTCTGCCAGGTTGAAACTCTCAAGCCCCTGGGCGGGCTGCAGGGGGCCTTGGGGGTACCAGGCCACGGGAGAAAGCCTGGCACCCCGAGAACTCCCAGGGGCTCCATCTCCCCCCTTCCCATGGGGCACACGACACCCTCAGTGTTCCGGGGGGGTGCCGTGGAGTGTAGGTCAGAGGTGGGATCCAGGCTCAGACCTCCTGGGCTCGGATCCTGGCTGGGTGCTGTCCAACCAGATGACATCACAGTTACCGCGTCTGAAATCTTCCAAGAGCCTCATCTTTGAAGTTTCGTTAAAAGCTGAAATGACCCCCAGCACCACCCCCCCAAAAAAGTGAGATTAATTTTAATGGCATCTTTTATGGAAACCTAATCAATGCAAGACATGGTCATCCGACATGGGATCCATATAAAAAGGATCCGTGGGATATTTGCCTTCCCTCCATGCACCCACTGCTCCTGAACTCCCAGGTGTGATCTTACCACCGTTTCAGTTGGGACCTTAAATTCTCAGCCGTTAAAGGGAAACACAGTCCCGCGGAAACAATCACGTGCTCACAAGAGAAGACGCGGCTCTGGGGGTTTAAATGAAATGTAAATTAGTTAAAGTTCAACAAAATTCAAAACCCACTCCTTCCCGCCCGAGGCTCATCTCAAGGGCTCCCAAAGCACGCTGATGGCCAGGCCACCCTGCCACCTACCCCCGGCTCCTGTCTCCTTCCGTCATCCACAAAATGGGCCGCTTTGTGTCACCACCTTTGTGGCAGGTGAAGCCAGGGTGACAAGTCACAGGCACATGGCGATGGCATCATAGGAGGCTCAGCCTTCACTGTCCAACGAGGGAGCCACGGCCCCCCCAACCTCGAATAGGCCACTTCATGGGGACTCAGCCTCCGGGAAGACGTTGACCCGCACCCCAGGTCCAAGCCTGGGCCGGCAGGGACACCCAGCCTGGAGCCCCCAGCAACCTCCACGTGCTCTTAGGGAGGGTAGGGGCAGAGCTCCCGCCTCACCCTCAGGTCTCCACCGAGTGTCTGAAGGGGGACCCCACTCACCTCCCCACCTCCTGACCTTGGGCAAGTCCCTTCGTGGCTCCTGGTCTTCAGCTGTAAATTGAACAGAAAGCATTGGTGAAAATGTGGGCCGTGCCTGGCACACAGTAAGTGCTCAATAAGTGCTTAACCTGCCAACTCCCTGGGGGCAAGGACCACAGCTGAGTCTCATTGCCAGCTCCACGCCCCATTCCCAGAGCTGAGTGGGTTCTGCACAAGCATGGTCGTGTGTGTGTGTGTGTAATGAGAACTGGTGGTTTGCTTCCTAGGTGCCAGGGCCACGGTGAGGGTGAGGCAGTGAGGTCTTCTTTTGGGGAAAAAAAATTGACAGGGCAATTGGGCACAGTGGCACACACCTGTCATCCCAGTGACTCGGGAGGCTGAGGCAGGAGGACTGCAAGTTCAAGGTCAGCCTCAGCCACTTATACTCTGTCTCAAAATAAAAGTAATTAAAAAGGGCTGGGGATGTGGCTCAGTGGTTAAGCGCCCCTGGGTTCAATCCCCAGTACCACGGGGATACCAAAAATCCCAGTCATCAAGATATTTTAGGGGTCTGGGGCTCGCCTGGCAGGTGTGCAGCCCGGGTTCGATCCTCAGCACCACATACAAACAAAGATGTTGTGTCCGCCGAAAACTAAAAAAAATAAATAAATATTTAAAAATTCTCTCTCTCTCTCTCTCTCTCTCTCTCTCTCTCTCTCTCTCTCTCTCTCTTTAAAAAAAATAAAAATAAATCTCGGGGGATTCAATAAGGATAGGATTGAGGGTATAGCTCAGGGGTAGGGTGCTTGCTTAGCATTCCAGGGACCCCAGGTTCCATCCCCAGCATCATTAAGAAACAGAAATCAAAGAAAAAGAGGAGAGGAAGAAGGAAGGTATCCCAAGTACCCAGCAGCACAGCGCGCGCGACAGACAAGGGCCCAGTGGGGACAGACTGCAGTCGGCGGTTTACCCGGGTTGCAGTGTCTCCTGCTTATACGACCTATGGTACCAACGGACCCGGTAACTCAGTCCCTCATGAGAAACGAACACCGAGAAATGGCCCCTGGGGAACAGTGGGCCGTAGTTCTGTTGAGAAATTCAAGCAAAACTCAGAAACTCGTCACCTGCGCCCCCTCCAGGGACTCCATGTCCACTGGGCTGTGGGAAGCACAGCAGCATCGCCCCATAATGTGTTCCCAGGTCCCCCTGAGGGCAGCCCGGGCAAGAACGGCCAAGGGAGTGGGAGGAAGGGGCCTCCAGGAGGACCAGGGCTGGTGGGCACCTGGGGACAGACGCCAGTGTCCACTTGAATAATTCTTCATTCACAGCACCCTCGTGTTTTCTGTATTTTATCCATGAATATTATATTTCATAGTTTTAATTTTTGGGGGGTTCTGGGGATTGAACAGGGGTGCTCTGCCACTGAGCCACATCCCCAGCCCTTTGCTGGTTTTGATTTTGAAATGGTCTCTAAGTTGCTGAGGCTGGCCTCGAACTTGTGATCCTCCTGCCTCAGCCTCCGAAGTAGCTCAGCTTCGTCCCAACTTTTTACTGTGAAGCATATAAAGAATCACTAAAGCATTCTGTGCCACGAGGGCCCTCGGACCCCCAGCCAGCCCTGCCCTGTCCCACCCCAGGACCAGCTATGACAACATTTCTTCCCTATTGCCATGTGTACCTCTAAAAGACAAGGGCTCTTTTCTAACAAACCACCCACCACCTGAAGAGCGGATCCTCCTGAATGCCCAAGACGCTCAGATTTCTAAATGTCTCACACAGACACCTGCTTTCACTTTGATCAGGGGTTAAGTAAGCTCTGCTTGCTGGGAATTGCCTGCTTTGTCTCCTAAGTCTTGCCCGTAAGTTCTCCTTCAGGGCTTCCCAGAATTCATGTGCCCGTGTGTGTCCTGGGGACCTTTTGAAAATGCAGGTTCTGACTGAGTGGGTCTCGTGTCACCATCAGAGGGTGTCGATGCCACGAGTCCGTGGGCCACACCTTAAGTGGTGACGACTTCAGAACAAGAGGAAGTACCGTTTTTAAAACTAAGCAACGCTGTCATGTTGGGCAACGTCCCACGTCACAGCTGGAAGGGAGGGGGCCCCTGTCTTCCCTGGAGGGGCAGCTGCTGATCACCCCTGCCTTGGGCACCTGTCTCCCAGAGGCACACCTGAAGCTGCTGCACTGGTGCCTGACACCCTGACCACCCAGGTGCTGGTCCCGGTGAAGTCTGACCATCCCCACCCTAAAGGCCACCCATCGGGTCCTGGGGACCTCTGGAAGTGCACTGATTGGTTCTGTTTCTGGCAGGAACCAGAAACAGAAGGCCCTTACCTGTTCTTGCAGTTACAGGGTTAATTAAAAAGCCCCGGGCTGTGGCCCGGCACCCCCCCCCACCACCACCACCACCACCACCACCACCCCCACCACCACCACCACCACCCCCCCGCCCCCTGTCCCCACCCCCACCCCTGCAAGACACAAGACAGGGCGGGAGAAGACTTGATCTTCCTCTGATTTTGCTCAGGCCCAGTTCTCACAGGGCTGCCGAGCCCCCCAGTCGACGTCCGGCCCAGGCTGGCCCCGAATGGTGACCAGCACCGGCATCACCACAGCAAGCCGAGGCCTGCGCCCTCCAGAGCACCGCTGGTCTAATGGGACAGTGGCAGCATCCCGTCACCAAGGTCACCCTAAGCCAACACACACGTCCCCCCAAGGCATTCTCCCAACTTACACGTTAATATAATCTATTTATTTATGTGCTATTTCCTGATGACTCCATCATGTGTCCATACCAGAGGTTTGGTCTCTTTCAAATTATTTTCTTCGTGCCATTATTTTTTGGGGGGCGGGTACTTGGGATTGAATCCAAGGGCACTCGGCCACTGAGCCACCTCCCCAGCGCTATTTTGTATTTTATTTGAAGACAGGGTCTCACTGAGTTGCTCAGGGCCTCGCTGTTGCTGAGGCTGGCTTTGAACTTGCAAACCTCCTGCCTCAGCCTCCGGATCAGCTGGGATGACAGGCCTGCCCCACCGTGCTCAGCTGGGAAGTTATCTCTTAATGCTCCTAATAGCTAACTGGAATGGAATGTCCCTTCCATCATGAGGACAGGCGACAAAATGTGGTGGCGTCAGCAGAACCTGCCACTTTGTCATCAAAAGCAATCACGGGTGTTCTCCTGTCCTGTTAACATTGTTTTTGCAGAGACCTTGGAGTGTCATTTACACTCATCGTGGCTTTGAAATTACAATCGTAATACGCTGCCCACCCACCCCACCAGATCTCAGGGTGTTCATAAGAGGCCCTCTGGCTCCATCACGGTTGGACGGTGACATTTGGATCGCTGTGTTTCCATATAGTCGTGGCCTCTATAAACCTATGGATTTCGTGTTTGGAAGCACCTCCCTGATCCCCCAGGAGCCAGGGTGCAGAGGAGACGCAGAACTGGGCTTGGGAGCCGACACCCTGGTCACCCGTGGCTCAGGCTGAAGAGGGGCACAAACAGCAGCCCTGGGCAGGATCCTGCTGTCCTCCTTCCCAGGGCAGGGACCTGAGGTCCGGCAGGGGGACTTGAGCTGGCAGGACACCTGGCAAGGCAGAACCTGGGACTGAAGAGGAAGCCAGGGTGTCCCGCGGGCAGCACGGCACCTTCCAGCTGCACCATGCTGCCACCTAAGGACACAGGCTCTCACGCTTGTGGCTGAGCAAGGCCACCGGGGGCCGTCTGTGCAGGAAGACAGACGCAGGTCCATCCTGAGTTCTCACTGCACGGTCATCATGCGCTCACGCTCTGCCAGCAGGGATGCCACTCGGGTCAGCTGCTGGGACAGGCACCCTGGGGGCATTGGGGGGAGATCCCATTCTTACCAGCCCCTGTATTCCAAGGAGACCTGCACAGGACCCTCCCGGACCCTCGCTATGTGCTATAAACAGTAGGTACATAAATACCCAGGGACCACTGCGAGCAGTGGCCCACGCCTGTCATCCCAGCAGCTCGGGAGGCTGAGGCAGGAGGATCCTAAGTTCAAAGCCAGCCTCAGCCATTTAGCAAGACCCTCACCAACACCGTGAGACCTTGTCTCAAAATAAAATATAAAAAAGGGCTGGGGATGCGGCCCAGTGGCTCAGTGCCTCTGAGTTCAATCCCCAGTACCCTAGATAAATAAATAAACACCCAGCAACACAGCAATAACTACAAAAAAAAAAAATAAGACCAACATAATAAGATGCTACACAGAGGTAAGAGAAATTAGTTCTATGTGTAGCAGCAAGAGTTGGTCTCAGCAACACATTGTTGAATGAAAAAGGCCAATTTGAGAAACCTACACACAGCAGGCTACCCCTTCAGGGTCTCGGAACACTAGTAAAGATGGCCACAGGTGTCTGTGTCTTAAGGTCTTCAGGTCACATAGCATGCTCACAACCATGAGGGGCAGAACTGGGGTACGGTGATTAAAAAGACTGGGTTTGCATTTTCAAAAAAGAGTAGATGCTCCCCTGTTAGCGGGGACTCACAGCTGAGTCCCTCAGGATGGAACTGAGTTGGGATTAAGAACCCCAACCCACCACCTGGTGATGCTTCCAGACAGTAAGTGGAGGGTCCCTCCCGAGGTCCTGGGACCCACAAGGCCAGAGCCCCTCAGGACAGAGAATCCGAGCATCAGTCCCATCTGACATACTGCCTGAGCCCCCATCCTTCACCCACGAGCACCAATGAGCGCCTTCTGCATACTGGGCACTGCCCCCCCACCCACCCCATGGGGCCTGCAAGACCAAACCCAGCAGCAAGATGACAAGATCTGGGGGGGAGTTCCATGAAGAAGGCGCTGTCACTCGGGACGCGGGGTAGGACCCCAGGGCTCTGAGCACCTCCAGATGAATGCAGACCTCTCTCCTGGGGAACGCCACACTTATCTGGTGTCTGCTGCTTGCACGTGTCTGAGAAGGAAAACCCGATCTTCTGGTTTTTTCTGTTGAAAGAGGAATTGCCGGGACTTTCCAAGGTCTGGCCACATTCTGTGGCTTCCTGCACAGTCCACGAGTTGGGTGCCCCTGACCAGGGTCCTCTCCC